GTTCAAGTGTGTGTGTGTGTGTGCGTACTTCAACTTTGCATGTCGCATTGGACGACTTATATTGCCGCAGTCGGCACCCAGGTCTGCATGCCGGTGCCGTGCGTCACATAATGTATGGGTTCCTGAGCTAGGAGCAATGCACATCAATAGATCAACCCAGTGATTCAGTACTGGAGCATATCAAACAACAACCGCCAAGCTTGCCAAGCGAAGAGATCTGCACCGAACAGTGCTGCTGGAATTCTACATAGTTGAAAGTCTCGTCGCAATCCATGATTGGAGCCTGGGAGAGCTTAGTGTTCTGTTGGACGATACCTTTGTGTTTGAGACTGCGTGCTGGCACACTGAGATTGGCTCCAAGACCGCGCAAGCCAGCCGAACGACCAGCAAGAAACTGAACATGGCCGTCCTTCGATGCTCGCGCTATCGTCCGGCATATGCGCGCGTGACGATGCGAGAGCGGCCAAGAAAGAACACAGCAGCCAGGAGGCATGCCAATTGCGGCCGCACCGCCATCTGCACGATCGCCGCTCATTCTGCAGGGCACATGTCACACTGTTACTAACAGCATCTCAGCCAAACGCTGCGATGCACAGATGCGCGTGCGTGCGTGCGAGTACGGCGACATGACCGTGAGCAAAGACTGGGAAGTCTCCTGACCACCAGCAACATCATCCCTGAGATGGCTGTCAGATCCTTTGGAAGCGCCAGACTGCCGCAACCAGCAGCTGAGTCTTCGGCCCTCGCGTGGCCTTTCTGAAGGCATCCTGCACTTCCTGCGTTTGGGGAATGGCGATGGTAGCCACATTCTTGCTATACTAGATCTAGCTGCAGCATGCTGCAGCACCCTCAGCGGGACTGAGTGATAAGTCCTTTTCTGCCAGTGGCAAAGCCCACTTGGCACGTCTCTTGAAAAGTGGCTCAACCTGAGCGTTCGAAACTTGGAGAAGTCCGCCTGCCTCTCCTCTCAAACATTCATGCATGCCATTTCTCAGAATGTGGCTGCCGACTTCAACTCCGAGGTCAAGAGGGCACTTTGCCAAATTCTGTAGTCGTCCTGCTGCAACCAGCGATGAGGATGCGAGTGCTTTCACCATGCTCACGTCGGTTCCCTTTCATGCCTTTTCCTTTGTGGTTCGGCCTTGCCTCGCTGAAACTTCCGGAGCACTGCCCGGACTCCCGGAAGCATGAGCACCAGTCCCCTGCTGACCTTCTGCTTTTGCTTTAGCTGTTCCAACTGGTAATTTTTACATCTTTTTCTCCTGTCAGAGGAGGCAATGCCAAGGCCAGAGTCCGAAGACCCCCAAACGGAAGCTGCCAGTTTTGCTCTCCTTTCACCGAGCCTTCAATTCCTGGCAGCACGCAGCTGCAGAAAGGAGCTACTGCATCTGAGCTGCAGTGCTCACGCCTCCATGAAGAATCTACAGCGATCCAAAACCTACAGCTTTCAAATCTATCTTCACATCTCTGCCTCTCCTTTGGGGCTTATCTTAGCACCTCGTCACTTCAGGACAGGACTCTTCACATCCACTGCCAGCAACACCGTCTTTCCCCAGCTTGAGGAGTGGCGATTCGCATTTGCTTCAGGTGCAAACTCTTCAGGGAGCTGATCTCTTCTCTTCGCTCTTTGGATGCTTGGTCTTCATAAAGCTTCGTCTCCAGGAGCTAACTCTTTGGCCTCCGTCTTGAATGCCATGCTTCCTTCGCCTTCCCTTTGGGCTTGCACCTTGCTTATAACATAACATGATCCTAACTCTCCGTCGGGCTGCGTCTTATCGCTTGTCTCTTCCTCTTGTCTTGCTCTCTTGTATGGTCTTGCGCCTTAGCTTTGCAATAGTGCGGTGATTGAAATCTTTGCCTTCAAGCTTGCATTGCTTCCCAAAGCGTGGTCTAACCTCAACCTAGTCTTTAACTTCGGCTTGGATTGTTTCCAGTCTTTCTGCTTTAACCTTGGTCTTTGTTTTTAGCCTTCTTCCACGCAGCCTTAGTCTTTGTCTTCGACTTGTGCTTGCATTTGGTCTTTGCGCTTTAGCCACAGTCTTTGTCTTCAACTTGCCTTCGCTTCTGGTCTTTGGGCTGCAGCCTCAGTCGTTCTCTTCAGCTAGTCTTTGCTTCTGGTCTTTGTGTGTTTAGCCTTAGTCGTTGTCCTCAATCGTTCTTTCCTTCGGGTCTTTGTGTTTTAGCCACAGCCTTTCTCTTCAACTTGTCTTTGCATCTAGCCTTGGTCTTCAACTGTTCTTTGCTTTTGATCCTTACACTTTGTCCATAGTCTTCGTCTTCAACTTGTCTTTGCTTCTGGTCTTTGTGGCTCAGCCTTCATTCTTCGCTTTGAATTTTGCTTTGGTCTTCTTTTCGACTCTGCCTTTGTTTTTGATCTCCTGCAAGTCTTTATTGCTCCCGTCCCTTTTGCCCTTATCGCCATTTGCTTCGAGTCTTCACTTCTGCTGCGACCACTTCGCTTCGCTTAAGCATCACTTTGGCTTCTCTTCGGCTTTGCATGTTTTTTTGCCGCAACTCTTCAGAGCCAACGCCCACTGGTCTTCGTGTCCTTTAGCTTGCACTTGGATGGCTTGGAAAAACGACCTACCAGCAGCCTTTGCGACTTTTCCGCCAGCAGCTGTCGTGCTGTCACCCGGACAGCTTCCCTTCAATTTCCTGTCGTAGGAGTGAGCACAAGCTAGGACATGCACAGCCTCAGTCAGTGGTTACCGCCCGACGCAGCTAACAGCTCACGGCAGCGACCAACTCTTAAAGCGTATCTTCCGGCTTCATTGTGTGGCCTGATGGCGGATGTGACACAAAACTACGGCACATGCAGCAACTGAAGGCTCGTAGTCATTCCTGGCTCCAGCGACCACCTCCTGTTCAAATCGGAGGTTTACGATCATCATCAGTCCTCTTCAAGCTGTAGCACACGAAGCCAAATGAATAGGATGTGCCTCACTCTCACACACTTCTTGTCTAGTTTTCGAGTAGTGAAGTGCCAGCAGCATTGCTAACACACTGTAATGCAATGAGGCTCGTGCTTGCATGGCCCACGACCTTTCAAGAAATCTGGGCCTCGGCATGGCAAACAATCATCAGCAGGCCCCTACCATGCTTACAGCATTCAAACTCTTCGCTCCGGATTCGGCCAGCTGCAGTCACAGCTGGGTTTCGTCCCGATGTTCACGGTGTAAACCTGACCACCGTGTAGATGCAAGATCTCTCAAGGCTGCCCGACCAGCACGTTATCGTCCAGCTGCTGGCACTGTAAGATCCGAACGTTGCCGGTGCTGCCCAGCACGTGGAAGAGGCCCCCTGCTCCTGCAACAAGGTTTGCGCTTTTAAACGGCCGGAGGAGGTTGTGAAATGCGTCCAGCACGATGTCGTTCCAACTTCAGCCTTCACATTTCAAAACGAACGAAACCCTGCCACCTTTCTCGATCAAATTCTGATTCGGGAACCAAGTTTCCGACAAGTAAAGTCGCTGTTCCAACGCTCGGTCAATGCGATCGCCTCACGGTGGGAAACTGCAGCGGTGCGATGCTGAATTACTCTGCTGTTGGCCGAGACTGCCACATGTCGCAATGCTTGGCTGACGTCGAAAGTTTGCCTGGCGCACCTCCTGCACTTCAACGCCATGCAAAGCTGCACAGCTTGCAGCGATGGCAACTCGATCCAATGCCTTGGGTGCAGCTTGCCCTCGGCAACGACCAGCTGGCTTTGATCTTTCTCCTACACAACACCGTTTCAATTTGGCCGTTGCTACATCACTTGGGTGAGGGTGAGCTCTTGAAGTGCTACTGACGTGTGTTGTTTACCATGCGTGCCCGATGCACTCTAAACTTCGCCACAAATTCCACAAACCCTGGAAATCTCTCAGTGCGGCCTTGTACCTGTACGGTTTGGTTCTTAGGCTCCCATGGGGATTCTTTAAATATTCTCAATCCTACCTTGTGCAAAGCCATCTTTTTGATGCTGTGGACGTACTGAATGCCAGCACACATGACGA